TTTGCCCACCACTGACGTAAGACTAACTGGTCTGTAATTTCCGGGGTTATCCCTGTTCCCTTTTTTGAACAAGGGAATGACGTTTGCCTCTTTCCAATCTTCTGGCACTATACCCGTAGACAGTGAGGACGAAAAGATCATCGCCAAAGGCCCTGCGATCTTGTCCCTCGCTTCCCATAAAATTCTTGGATAAATCCCATCAGGCCCGGGGGACTTATCTATCTTCAACTTCCTCAGGATTCCTAGCACATCTTCTTTACTAACATCAAACTCCTCTAGCCTACCTGCCTGTTTCACAACGTCCTCCTCTACAACTAGGTCCCTCTCAGTTGTGAATACTGAAGAAAAGTATTCATTAAGGACCTCTCCTATCTCTTTAGGCTCTGTGCACAAATTCCCTTTCCAATCCTTGATCGGCCCTACCCTTTCTCTGGTCATTCTCTAGTTCTGCACGTACGTGTAAAAAGCCTTAGAGTTTTCCTTGATCCTATCCGCCAAGGTTTTCTCATGCCCCCTTATAGCTCTCCTAAGCCCTTTCTTCAGCTCCTTCCTGGCTAACTTGTATACCTCTAGAGCCTTTTCCATTCCTCTTTTCCTAAACCTTACATAAGCCTCTTTCTTCCTCCTAACCAGTCGTTTGACCTCTCTCGAGAACGATGGCTCCCTCAAACGACAGCATCTTCTCTGCCTGCTAGGGACAAACATATCGAGCACATGCAGTATGCATTCCTTAAACAATCTCCACATTTCTGTGGTGCTCTTCCTTGACAGCATCTGTTCCCAATTTATGTTATCCAGTTCTTGCCTAACTGAATTGTAATTACCCTTCCCCCATTATAAACTTTACCTTGCCTTATGTACCTATCCTTATCCATGACTATCATGAAAGAAACAGAGTTATGATCACTACCGCCAAAATGCTGTCCTACCAACAGGTCTAACACTTGGCCCGGTTCGTTGCCAAGCACCAAATCCAAAGTGGCCTCTCCTCGTGTTGGTCTATCTACATACTGTGTCAGGAATCCTTCTTGAACACACTGGACAAAATCTAAGCTATTACAACTAAAATGTTTCCAATCAATATTTGGAAAGTTGAAGTCACCCATGACTACAACTCTGTGACTTCTGCACCCTTCCAGTATCTGCCTCCCAATCCGCTCCTCTACTTCTCTGCAACGATTAGGGGGTCTGTAAAAAACTCCCAACAAAGTGACTGCTCCTTTCTTGTTCCTGACCTCAACCCAAACTGACTCTGTAGATATATCATTCTCGAACTGCCTTTCAGTAGCTGCTATACTCGCCCTGACTAGCAATGCCACTCTTCCACATCTCTTTCCACCCTCCCTATTTCTTTTAAAGCATCTGAATCCTGGAACTTCCCACATCTATTCCTATCCCTGAGTTACCCAGGTTTCTGTAATGGCCACAACATCATAGTTCCAAGTACCGACCCATGCTCTAATTTCATCCGCTTTATTTCCGATACTTCTTGCATTGAAGTATACGCACCTCAAAGCATCTCGGTGTCCGCAATTACGCTCCATTGACCACATTTCTTTATAAACCACCTCGCTCCCTGTTGTGTCTGTTGGAAGGCCGAATATATCATCCTGACTACTGTCTCTCATTCCCCTTTCTCTCTCAGGGAGATACCTGTACACTGTACACTGACTGGTGTCCATCAGTCCTCTCTCTCTCTCAGGGAGATATCTGTACACTGACTGGTGTCTCTCAGTCCCCCCTCTCTCTCTCTCAGGGAGATATCTGTACACTGACTGGTGTCTCTCAGTTCTCACACCCTCGCTGTCTCCCCATCTGTGTCACTGCCTGCCTGTGGCCCTCTGCCTATCTCTAGGAGATATCTATATGCTGACTGGTGTCTGTTCCCACTTCCACTTCTCAGGGAGATACTTGGTGTCTCTTTCCTCTCTCTCTGTCAGGGAGATATCTGTACACTGACATTTACCTCATAAATCCCTCCCTTTTTCTGAATGTTGATTCTTATTGTGTTCAAATTCCACCATCTGCCAAAGCGAGATTCAAATCCAGGTCCCCAGAATTTGACCAGGGTCTCTGAACGAATAGTCTAATGTCAATACCATTGGGCCATTTCCTCCCTTTGTTAATATGTGGTTGAAGGTAGGCCGAGGAACGCTAATGAAGTGTTACCCTTTACCACAAGATGATTTGAGCAAAGGAGTAGCAGGGTCTTGCTTCAGTTGTATAGGAACTCAGTTAGACCATACCTGGAGTACAGTGTGCATGTTTGGATCCTTATCTCAACAAAGATAAGAGTGAATGTGAGTAGGTGGGCGTGTAGCTACATTGGCCCGAAACCCCATCTCTTCCTCCGTTACATCGATGACTGTATCGGCGCCGCCTCGTGCTCCCACGAGGAGCTCGAACAGTTCATCCACTTCACCAACACCTTCCACCCCAACCTTAAGTTCACCTGGACCATCTCTAATACCTCTGTCTCCTTCCTGGACCTCTCTGTTTCCATCTCTGGCAACCACTTAGAAATCGATATCCATTTCAAACCCACCAACTCCCACAGCTACCTAGAATACACCTCCTCCCACCCACCTTCCTGCAAAAATGCCATCCCCTATTCCCAATTCCTTCGCCTCCGCCGCATCTACTCCCAGGATGAGGCATTCCACTCCCGTACATCTCAGATGTCCTCGTTTTTCAAGGACAGCAACTTCCCCCCATCAGTGGTCGAGAATGCCCTCAACCATGTCTCTCGCATTTCCCGCAACTCATCCCTCACACCCCCTCCGCGCAATAACAACCAAAACAGAATCCCCCTCGTCCCTACGTACCACCCCACCAACCTCCGGATCCAACGCATCATCCTCCGACACTTCCGCCATCTGCAATCCGACCCCACCACCAAAGACATTTTTCCCTCCCCACCCTTATCTGCTTTCCGGAGGGACCACTTTCTCCGTGACTCACTTGTCCGCTCCATACTCCCCTCCAGCCCCACCACACCCGGCACTTTACCCTGCAACTGCCGGAAGTGCTACACCTGCCCCTACACCTCCGCCCTCACCCCCATCCCAGGCCCCAAGAAGACTTTCCACATCAAGCAGATGTTCACATGCACATCTGCTAATGTGGTATACTGCATCTGCTGTTCCAGTTGTGGCCTCCTCTACATTGCGGAAACCAAGCGGAGGCTTGGGGACTGCTTTGCAGAACACCTACGCTCAGTTCGCACTAAACAACTGCACCTCCCAGTCGCGAACCATTTCAACTCTCCCTCCCATTCCTCAGATGACATGTCCATCCTGACCCTCCTGCAGTGGCACAACGATGCCACCCGAAGGTTGCAGGAACAGCAACTCATATTCCGCTTGGGGACCCTGCAGCCCAATGGTATCAATGTGGACTTCACAAGCTTCAAAATCTCCCCTCCCCCTACCGCATCCCAAAACCAGCCCAGCTCGTCCCCGCCTCCCTAACCTGTCCTTCCTCCCACCTATCGCCTCCTCCCACCTCAAGCCCCACCCCCATCTCCTCCCTACTAACCTC